GCAAACAAAGCCCCATTGTCTTATCCCTGATGCTGGCAGGGACTCCTGTGGCTCTGACCCCTCCATGCAGCCAATTGTTCAGCCTACTCCTGGCTTCCAGCTCTTAGCTGTTCCCTCACAGCATGCTGCCCTGCTGCTCTTCTTTGGGGTTTTTAAGATCCCGGTCAGCAGCCTCCCCACAGCTGCAGCTACTCAATGGGGCTGGCTGGCCCCTCTTCAGAGGAAAGTCACTCTAGTTACGGTAGGATTCAATCTTTGAGACAAGGCTGTCTTCCATACACTTCTATGATGGGAAGGGTACATCTGAGTAATCCTTGATCACAGTTTGCTTAGTGGAACATTTGAAGGACACATTGGCATATGTATTTGGTTCAAAAGTGCACTGCTGCCATCTTCTCAGCACTGACATGCATTTTGTTGTTTATATAAACACATATGCTGGGTGTTTTTAAAAGCACTCTGCACTGCAGCGCAAGCATGTGTACAAATGCCCAAGGTGAGCTAGGGCAGTACTGAAACTAGACCTTGTATGCAAGATAGATGAGGAAGCTTGCCATCCTTTTTGTGCAAGCAGTCAAGAGACTTTTTATTAAGAGTTTGATTTTTCTGGCACTGCAGCTTAAATGGCCTCTTTAATCATCAGCAGCTTGCTAGTACTGAAGCATTGGTGTTCTACAAACCACACTCTACTTTCAGCACAAGGGCCTTTCATTTTTTTGATGCAGAAGAACTCCAGGCAGCATTGTGTCCCAGATTGCTTATGACCAAGATGTTGCCAGATCTGTAATTGAATTTTTTGATTCATGCCCCCTGAATTGGCAAATCCAGTCCTCCTAAATCTCATCTTCACACACAGTACAATATGCCTGTGTAACTGGAATAACTGTTTACTGCACACTAAGGGCTTGTCCAAGCTGGGATGGCAGGCAGTATGTCTTAGCTAGTATGCTCCACCAACCTGCCTCTGGGCATGTGCTCCAAATACAGAAATATGACAGATGGGGCTGCTCTAGGGTTGTGCCCTGGAAATTGCTCTCGAGCAGTTGCAGAGGAATGTATCCAGGGGGCATCTCTGGCATACTTCTGGGGTTGGAGTACATGCACAGGTGTGGTCCCACATTACCATGATAGCATAAATGTGTCCTGAAAGTGGGGGGAAAAAGAAAAAAAAAAAAAAAGCGGGAGGAGTGGGGACAGACATCCAAATAGTTTCTATATGGAAGAGATGTAGTTTCAGCTAGATTTTTAGATTGGTAAGCAAGATCCAACCAGGATTTGACTATGTAAACCGGGGGTGGGCAAAATGGCAAAATGCAGCCTATGGGCTGGATGTGGCCCACCAGGCCATTCTATCTGGACTGCAGGGCCTGTAAAAAAAAAAAAAAAAAAAAAAAAAAA